GTCGCCGAGACTGGAATGCAGTGGCACAATCTCGGCTCACTGTAACCTCCGCCTCCCAGGTTCAAGCAATTCTCCTGTCTCAGCCTCCCAATAGTTGGGAATCCCAGTAGTTGGGATTATAGGCATTCACCACCACGCCCAGCTGATTTTTTCTGTTTTTAGTACAGACAGAGTTTCGCCTTGTTGGCCAGGCTAGTCTCAAACTCCTGATCTCAGTTGATCCAACTGCCTCGGCCTGCCAAAGTGCTGAGATTATAGGCATGAGCCACCGCGCCCGGCCCTGAAGCAGGTTTTATATTGTAGTTGGGTGCATTCTAAAGTGGGACCAGGCTGCTTCCCCTCTCCAGAGGTCTGCCCTTCCTCACCCCTCAAGTCATGCCTGGCAGGGATGCTGGCACCCCTGCCAGAGTGTCTCCAAGTGCTACCAGCTTGCTCCTGAACAGAGGCTCTCAGCCCACTGGGGAGGACAGAGTAGGGCAGGGCAGGGAAGTGTCTGCTCCTCTGAACAGACCCAGCCTGTAGCCCAGAGGCCAAAGTGAACCAGAGCCTCTTGTTATTCCAGGCAGGTCTATCTGCAGTGCTGCAGCAGCCTGAAGCCCTAGCCCCTGGCCCCTCCTGTTTCTTTTCTCCCATTTTTATGCATCATATCACATTCGATAGGAGCATTTAGTAGCGGGGAGACTCGGGGTGAGTTCCTTTCATATTTTCAAATATACCCACTCTATGACCTGTATGAGGTGTCATTCTTTTTCCTCATAGTTTGGGGATGTATTTCTTCTTTAGCACCCTGGGAAAGCTAAGAGTGAAAGATTCCTTGGACAAAATTGGAGGAAAGTGTGTCTGATTAGTGTTTACAGTTTGGTGACTTAGAACATAAGGTTCTTGTCTCTGGCAGCTCCTCATTTCTAGAGGCTTTTTTTTTTTTTTTTTTTTTTTGGAAGTCAGGGTCCCACTCGGTTTGCCCAGGCTGAAATTAAGTAATATGAATACAGCTCACTGCACACTGCAGCTTCCACCTCCTGGGCTCAAATGACCCTCCCACCTCAGCCTCCCAACTTGCTAAGACCACAGGCGTGCACCATCATGCCCAGCTACTTTTTGTATTTTTTGTAGAGACAGGGTTTCACCATGTTACCTAGGCTGGTCTCGAACTCCTGAGTTCAAGTGATTCTCCCGCCTCAGCCTTCCAAAGTGCTGGGATTACAGGCAGAAGCCACTGCACCTGACAGATGCCTGCCTTTTAGAGGGCCTCTTAGAAGTTTGCCAGAAAATGAGGAGGTTTAGGCTCAAGAGAAGGAGTAAAGTGTAACAAAAAGAGCGCCAGGCAGTCAAGACCACTGACTTGTTAAGACCAAACCACTTTTTTATCTCCCTGGACCTTTGTATCTTCATTTGTAAGGTGAGGGTCACAGCTGTCCTAGCTAGAATTGATATGACCAATGCTTTCACATGTCATCTACAAATTATAGAACAGATGTTCTAGGACTTTAGGAGGAAAAAAGTAAAATGTTGTCTTAATGATCATGTAAAGCATTGTAATTTCTTGCCCTAGGAGGAAGAGATGAGAGAGTTCGCTCTTCTATCCTATCATCTCTTAGGCTTGCAAAATACTAGAAAAGAGGAGGGAGCACATACCTTACTCAGAACGCCCCAAGCTGAATGACTAACCCTTACCTGACAAGAGGTAGTACCTTCCAGGTGTCTGAGCAGCGCATTTGATGCTGAGATGGTGTGAGCACCTTCAGATTATTCTTTGGCAGATTAGGGGCCAGGCAAGCTCAGCAGCTGCAGAGAGCTCATACTCCAGAGAGCTCAAAACTCAGAAGTGCGGACATCATGATATTCTTCCTAATATTATAGAGATCCCACCTTAAACCTCGGGCTCCAACTCTGCACTGCCCTTTGGACTTTGTGCCAGCAGCTTAGTGCTTGACCTACTGTGTGTTTCTCTAGATCAGCCTGAGGCAAACAAACCTTTTCATTCTTTTCCACATGTGTTCTTCAGCCCCATGTGTTCTAATCTTACATAACCTTTTCCATCAGTTGTCTATGGAAGTGGAAGAATCTCTCCTCTTTGGTACTCTGAAAAGAGGTTCAAAGTAAGGAAGGAATTCTGCCAGGTGTGGTAGCTCATGTCTGTAATTCTAGCACTTTGGGAGGCTGAGGTAGGAAGATCACTTGAGGTCAGGAATTCCAGACCCGCCTGGCCAACAGAGTGAATCCCCATCTCTACTAAAAATACAAAAAATTGGCTGGGCGCAGTGGCTCACCCCTGTAATCCCAGCACTTTAGGAGGCTGAGGCAGGTGGATCACAAGGTCAAGAGATCGAGACCATCCTGGCCAACATGGTGAAACGCCATCTCTACTAAAATACAAAAATTAGCTGGGCATGGTGGCATGCAACTGTAGTCCCAGCTACTTGGGAGGCTGAGGCCGGAGAATCACTTGAACCCAGGAGGTGGAGGTTGCAATGAGCTGAGATCACGCCACTGCACTCCATCCTGGCAACAGAGCGAGACTCCATCTCAAAAACAAACAAAAAAGCACAAAAAATAGCTGGGCATAGTGGTGGGTGCCTGTAATCCCAGTTACTCAGGAAGCTGAGGCAGGAGAATCACTTGAACCTGGGAGGTGGAAGTTGCAGTGAGCCAAGATCGTGCCACTGCATTCCAGCCTGGGTGACAGAGTGAGACTCTTTCTTAGAAAAAATAAGGAAGGAATTCTGACTCAGACTGTCTTTTCTAATTCTCAGGAGACTCAAGAACCTGTATGCTGGTGGTTACTGCTAATGGTTATAACCTAGCTAATGGTTTTTGTTAATGAAGCTGCCCTAGAATATTCCATTCTTTTTGTGCAGTGGGGGGTTCCCTGGCAAGGAAAGATGGAAGGGCACATGGAGCTTATTTTTCTTCTACTTAAAGGGCTTGATAACAAAAGTTCATTAAGATCAAATTAGGCTTTCTCCCATCACTTAAGTGTCCTATTCTGCACACTGGACAGCTTTCATCTAAGATTTCCAAGGACTATTTCTATAATTCCATTCCTTTATCACTTTCTTAGGGTGGTGCGAAAAGACAGGGCCCATTCTCTACCCAACTAAAGGTGGAAGGAACCGAGTCCTGAAAAGGCTAAGTAACATCCCTATCTTCCTGGAGCAAACATTGTAGTGGGTGAAGACAGAAAAGGTAAAATCCTCTGATTCCTAGTTCAACACTATCAGCATTGTTCCCAACATCCTCTTGAAAGGTGAAGAAGTTCTACTTGAGGGTCAAGATGGGTTTCTTGCTGCTAGAGCTCTTCCCATTTCTTCCAGGCTTGGAGAAGCTGAACTGGGGTGAAAACTCTGTGGTCCTGCCTGTTCCTACACCAGTCGGAATGAAGGGAGTTTGACACATTGCCTCAGGTTCTTTGTGGATCTTCTTATTTCCCAGATAAGAAGGGGTTATGATATTTTAAAACAAATAGAACCCTGCTTTTTAACTCTTTGTGAGTCAAGAGTAGTGCTAAAAATCTATGAGAGGAACAGGAGGCAAGGGGCAAATTGGGAGAGGGAGGAGTATAAATCAACCTGCATCCCTGTGGAAGCTTCTGGGAAGAAGATTGTCAGGAATTGGCAAAGACTTTGGCTACACGTGACTTTGGAGGAGATCACTGATAAAAGAATCAAGTCCCTTATCTGATAGTTCTTGTGCTTCTTTGTTCACCTTCTAGAAGTAAGGGTGGCATCTATTTATTACAGAGAGGTTGGCCAGAGCTCCTTGCCACCCCCTGGTAACTGAAGTCATCAGTGGGGACTATGTAACTGGGGCTGGGGTCCCATGTTCTGGTGCTGTGCTAAGAGCTCCTTCACATTTGAAAGGCTGATTGTGTGGCAGTGACACCTGTCAGTGTTATGACACACAGCGGCCCCACTTTAAAACTGAGAAGGGGCCTCAGGATAAGTTCTCTTCCCACCTTCAGCCCTCTGTATCCTCACCTACACATAGCTCCACCACACCCCCTAGTTAGCATGCATGAGAGGTAATGCATCTTTCTAAGGGGAGAAATGCTGGCCTCTCTCTGGTGCCTTTATTGAGATGAGTGAGACTCTGGTGCTTACTCACAGGCTAGCTTGTCTTCCCTGCTGACCTTGCTGTGGCCCTGTCCTCTATCTGAATTGAGAGGTGTCTTATCGCTCCCACTCCAGAGAAACTTTAATGCTCAGGCTTCAAACTCCCTATCTTTCCTCCTCAGAGGTCCTTCTGTCCCCCTTACTAAAAAAAAAAAAAAAAGGTTCACCCTGTATCGCCAACTGACAAAGCATTTTACTCTCCTCTTCTCCCCAAAAGCCTCTTGGAGTAGGGTGGAGCTTAGCCTCGAGACCAAAATTGGTGCCTGCCAGGTTGACACCTGCAACAGGCTACAGAATTTCCATACACCTGGAAGCTGAGTACTCTAAGGGGCTTTGGAGGATTTTGACATCTTCTATCAGGTTGTCTTCCTTGTGTGTAAATGTGTGTGTTGGGAGTGGGAAGAGTGTGGGGTGTGGGAAAGGTAGGCCGACTGACAGGCAACCATTCAGATCACTTAGATCTGAACTCCTTTTTCTGACCTCTTCTCATCTTTTATAGATAATGTCAGAATAAAGTATCCTGTCACAGGTCCCTCAAATAGACAGGGAAAACACTAGAGCCATTAGAGGTTGTAACCATTTATTTCCAAGTTTCTGAAGCTGTGGGTTTTATGTTGCTTGGTTGGGAGAGGTGAGATGTAAAGACTAGGGTATATTGAAATTACTCCTCTACATTGGGGTTTGCAGTCTGCGGGGGCCTCCCAGGGAGGAACGGGCCTCTCCTGAGTCAGCTCCCTAAGCTCAGGCCTCAGCTATCAGTTTAGCTCAGACCTCAACTGTCACTTAAACCCTTGTGCTTAGACTGGGTACCTCTTGCCCTTGCAGATGCTGGATACTCCTGGCTGCTCTAATGGTTTCTTTTTGTCTATCTTTGAACCTTTATTGCAGAGATCCAGTTGTCATCAGTATCCAGGAAGCTCTCCTCTTCCTCCTCCTGATGCCTCTCTACCACTACAGTTGCTGGTTGTTGCTAAGGTTGCTGCCATGGTAACATGCACATCCTGTTTACACTTTCATCTGGGCAAGTTGGTCTAAGCTAGGAACCTACCTATCCTGGACAACCACTATCATCACCACCTGGGGACACCAATCAACGTGACACGGAGTCCACCTTCCACTCAGTTCCCCCATCTTCTTCCTCCTCTCGCTGCCAGATTTCATACAGAAGAAAGGATCTAGACTTCGGACAGCTACTCGGGAGCTTATTACACAAGATACATTCGATCTGTTCCCTCACTGGGCCCCCAGAGAAGCAAGAAGTAGGAAGAAGTTGAGACAGGAAGGCAGGAGACACTGGTCAGTTGAAGGGAAACACTACATCTTCTCTGGTTGAGGGGCTTGGTAACAACAGGCAAAATGACGAACCCATCAGACCGTGTCTTGCCTGCCAACTCGATGGCCGAGAGCCGTGAAGGGGACTTTGGCTGCACAGTAATGGAACTGAGGAAGCTCATGGAGCTGCGTTCGAGGGATGCTCTGACCCAGATTAACGTCCACTATGGAGGTGTACAGAATCTCTGCAGTAGACTGAAAACCTCCCCTGTGGAAGGTAAAGGCCATATCAGGGGTGGGGAGTTGGAGGAAGGTGGCTAGTGTTTCAAAATATTCTTTTCCCAGCTTCTAGAGAAGGCACACTTCTGGAGACCCCACTGGTATATTTTTGTCAGGTGGGAAAGGTATGGCTTCTTTTTTTTTTTTTTTTTTTTTTTTTTTGAGACGGTGTCTCGCTCTGTCGCCCAGGCTGGAGATCAGTGGCACCATCTCAGCTCACTGCAAGCTCCGCCTCCCGGGTTCACGCCATTCTCCCGCCTCAGCCTGACAAGTAGCTGGAACTACAGGCACCCGCCACCACACCCACTATATTTTTTGTACTTTTTAGTAGAGACGGGGTTTCACCATGTTAGCTAGTATGGTCTTCATCTCCTGACCTCGTGATCCGCCCTCCTCGGCCTCCCAGAGTGCTGGGATTACAGGCGTTAGCCACGGCGCCTTCACTTTTATAACAGGGAGTCAATTGAGCTTGACAGGTAAAAGACAAGAACTGACTTCCATGTTTTTCAAGTGAACTTTGGATCTTTTAGAAAAAGATGCGTCTTAAGGTGAAAATAAAACATTGATTTGAGGTCAATAGTTCCCTCTAAAAGCAAAATTTCAGTTTTATCCTCCTGTTAAATTAAAATATCCATTATACTACGATCTTACTGTCTTCCTACATCGATGTGTGTGTATATATTCATCTGTCCATCAGTTCATCCATCTTCCCATTATTTGATCCAGAAATGTACAAAGAAATATGTCACAGAGGCCGGGCGCGGTGGCTCAAGCCTGTAATCCCATCACTTTGGGAGGCCGAGACGGGCGGATCACGAGGTCAGGAGATCGAGACCATCCTGGCTGACACGGTGAAACCC